TCATTTATGAATAATGCAAACATCAGTCCCAGGAGAGAATGTGGAGATCATCGATTGTTGCTCTCCTGCTTCCTAGAGCTGATCCAGCCTCTGATCTCACTGTTTGTCCACTCAGTTACATGACCTTCCAGAACCAAAGGCTTTCACAGCTCACAGGAGATCATTCAGCCGTTCTGGCTCTCAGAGGGAAAACTCTCATTCCTACCTCTCTTAACTACCCACCCACACACCATCATGATGGAGTCTTGTAGCTCAGCGGTTAGCGCACTCGCCTTGCAAGCAAGAGGACCTGGGTTTGATTCCCGGGCGGTACGCACCCCTCTGTTTACCAAGCAGTAAGTAGAACCCTGTTCTTAGTCAACTGGCGGACTGCTTTTATGGGGTAATCATTAAAAAATATTAAAAGAGCAATAGACTGCTGCTCTCAAATAAATAAATAATAAAGTGCTCACTCAATCCATGACTCTTTGTGGGACACTGCTGTGTGCAATTGGCTGCCACAAAAATATACAGTTAATTCAATTTACAATGTATTCGGTGAAGTGCTTTGTGGATAATAATCCTTGCATTTGATATAGCGCCTTATCACTTCGTCGAGATGTCTCAAAGCGCTTCACGGTACATGAGGTACATCAGTCACATAACGTGGAGTGACCATGTATTTTGTGGGTGAAAGTATCAAATGTGAGGGTTATTATTGTCATTAGAAGCTGAGGCTGGGGGCTGCCCCCAGTCTCAACAACAACTTGTATTTACATACAAGTGAGGTAGCATCCCAGAGCGCTTGACAGTGGTGGAGTCTGACACCTTGACCTCTTTGGGCAGTGTGAGATGTACCAGGTTACCTTCCCTGTGCTGTGCTATTTGTAACCGTGTCTCCCAATATTGAATTCAAGTCTCTCATCTCGCCAGCACCAGCTATAAAGTGATCTCTCTCATACGCAATTGGCATCGCTGGTCACTTTCCAACAACAGATAGCGTTTCAATGGGTGGGGGGGGGAAGTTATTTTTAGTGGCGGTCATACAACTCAATATGTGCATCAGGGAAAGGAATCTGGAAGGAAATGTTGTCCATTGTTGGACTTTTCTAATTACCTGTTCAGAGTTTGGAACTGGAGCCTGTCATGTCCCCTTCACACAGGTGTTCAAAATTGTGAGGGTTTTGATAGAGTAGATAAGGGAGAAACCGTTTCCACTGGCCGGTAGGTTGGTAACCAGAGGGCATAGATTTAAGATAATTGGCAAAAGAACCTGAGGGGAGACAAGGAGAATTTTTTTTGCCCAGGTCTGCCTGAACGTGTGGCGGAAGCAGATTCAGTAATAGCTTTCAAAAGGGATTTGGGTAGCTACTTAAAAAGGAAAGATTTGCAGAGGTATGGGGTAAGAGTGGGACTAGACTAGTTTAAGCGCAACGAAACATCAATCTGGCGTGAAAGTCCACCTGAACAGGGCATAGACAGGACCTCGGTTTACCATCTAAGGAGAGCACCTCTGACATTACAGCCAACCCTCCAATACGTTGGAGCGTCAGTCTGGACTGTGAGCTCAAAGTCTCCGACAACAGACTTGACCCCACAACTTTTTGACCCAGAGACGTGAGTGCAACAAGACTGAGCCAGACTGACACATTAGTCTGTGAGATAGCTGTGGAATGGAGCATGGAGGTATACTGTGGCTCAAGCTAAAGTAAATTAAGACGACACAGCTCTCTTATCTCCTGGTTAATTAGTCTCTGTCAATAGCTTTTGAAATGTGATTAAAAAACAAGGCGGCCATTCTTTCGAAACCATGGAGTTGGGGTCGGGGGAAATTCCTTTGGAGTACTATGTAAATACAATGGTTTGAATTGTGGCAGTGTATCTCACTGTCTGAAGCTTCCCATAAACTGGGTGTAAAGTTTTATTGATGCTGTAATTAGGGAAGATTTCACAACAGCATTGCACTTAGAGAGTTATGAAACTCATTATCTGGGTGCAGATGAGTACCGCGATTCCTCACGTTTCCTACCACACTGTTACCAGCATTAATCCTACATCGATCTATTCCCTTCTCCCTCACTGCTCGATTCCCCTCTTCTGCACCACTCTATTCCTCTCTACTACATCCCTCTATTCCCCTCTTCCATGTCCCTCTATTGCCCTCTCCTACACCCGTCCATTCCCTTCTCCTACACCCCTCTATTCCCCTCTCCTACAACCCGCTATTTCCCTCTCCCTCATGTCTCATCAAGTTTCCTCTTAATTATGTTGATGCTTTCTGCTTCAAACGTAGCTTGTTGCCGTGATTCCTGAACTCTCTATTAGGTCTGTTACTGGTCAGCTTATATTTATTCTCTCCCAATTTGGGCTTCCCAACAATTGGAAACAGCGATTGACATCCTTTCATAATGTAACCTCTCGATCAGGTCCACTTTCAATATCTTGCTCCGAGAGAGAAAAGCTCCGGCTTGCCCAATCTTTCTGTGCGGACAGCTGTGCACCACAAGTCTCGCTCTTGTACAGTCAGAGAGGTAGGCTGCTGTCCGCCAATATCTGACTCTCTCTCACAGCGTCTCACAGCGCAGCCTTCCAGCCTTTGTGCTCAGGCATTTAATCAAAAGTTGGATGCGTAATTGGACATTATGGAAAGCAGCCAGTAATCCAGGCTGGCCAGCCTGTCACCAGTCTCTAACAAAGATAGATGCCGCGTTGATGGCCTGCCACAATCTGTCGCTTGGCATAGTTACTAAATCAACCTGTGAGTCTTATTGTTGTGGAGAGAGTGCAATTAAAACAGCAGCGATCCCTCCCAAGTCTCTAATACTATAATACTCCTCAGACCACCTGTCAAATAGCATCAGGTCCACGCGCATTGTCCTCTGTGCTCTCACCCCAACCTGCTCCCACGCTGACCCGTCATCACCCTTCCCTACAGCCCCAAATCAGTAATAATTCTTGCATTTGATATATAATGTCTTGTTACATCTTCAAAATGTCTCAAAGCACTTCACAGAATATACTGTAAAGTGAATTGACTGTATATGTTTGTGTCCCACAAACAGTTGTGGATTGAGTCTCCAAATTATTCATTTGTTTATTTTTTGAAGGCATCATTACCCCCAGAAAACTGATCCCCCAAACCACCGGGTCCCTATTTACTGCTCGGTAAACATAGGCGTGTGGAGTAAGGAAATCTTGCCCAATGTTTCACCCTGCCCGGGAATCGAACCCAGGACCTTTCGCTTGCGAGGCGAGTGCTCTAATCACTATGCTCCAGGACTTTACAATAATACTAAGCACACTCGCATTTGAATAATTTCTCCCAATTCTGAGCCTTTCCAGACACAAACTACCCCACAGGCCGAGACCGATGACCTAGCCAACAATCCCCCAGATAAAATCGCTCATTCACCCGGTAGCTGTTTGTATGGGAAGTTGCAGTGTGTAAATTGGCTGCCACATTCGCCTACAAAACACAGTCGCTCCATTTTCCAGTAAAATCCTGTGAAGCGCTTTGAGACAATATATAGTTTGGGACAAGACACAGTCAAAGCCCTCAATTTCTCCTCACTCTCCTCCCTGTCATCGCTGCGAAGAGTTGTGAGATATTTGACCTATGTGAATGGCGTTGTATCATCTGTTTTGCCGGTGAGTAACCTATCTGGCTGCTCCCAGACTTTCCTCCCTGTTACACCAGGTAATCTGTTCAGGTATCCGTATACCTCATTAACACATCAAGCATCTCTTATCTGGAAATTTTAAGAGTCAAGCAAAGTACAGCTGGGTTGTGTTACCGAAACCCATCTCAGTGTCTAAACGCCTCGGGTAAAATTACCCACTTTGTGTTCCGCAAAGCCCTCGAGATCTCAGTTTCCATCAATATTCAAATGACAACAGGTCGCCTGAAATATTAAACTTGCATAGGAAAATTCTTAAAGATTTGCAGCACACAGACAGCTAACCCCATTCTCCTGCTCGCTAACCCTCCCCCAAAACCCTCTGTCCAATGGCTGAGAATTGCACATTGGTAAGCAGCGGGAATAATTTTTCAGTGTTTGGGATTGGATGGGACGTGTGCATGGTCGACTATTCAGGGGATGGGGTGGGGGGAAACTGTCATTGGGGTAGATTAAAATACACAGTCACGACACTTCACAGAGAAAAATTATTTGAGTTGTGTTGTGTCTGTGTGGATGTGGAGTTCCATAGCATATTGGTTAGAGCTCACCTCACAAGCGAGAGGACCTGGGTTCGATTCCCGGACGGGGCGAAACATTAGACAGGTTTCCTTACTCCTCACGCCTCTGTTCCCAGCAGTAAGTAGGAACTCGGTCATTAGTCGGTTGGTAGATTGCTTTCCGGGGGTAATAATCCCTCAAAAAAAAATTGGGTCATTCAACCTACAACTGTTTGTGGGACTTTGCTGCACACTGCAGCGTTTCGCCCACAAAATATGCAGTCAATTCACTTTACAATATATCCTGTGAAGTGCTGTGAGTGGTCTCAACGATGTGATAAGGCGCTGTATGAAACACAAGGATTATTATTATAATGGATGGGAAGTATGAATGGTGTACTATTCAGGGGATGGTGAGGTGGGCGGTGATCTATGTTGGGGTAGAAAAAATATAGAGTCGTTCCAGAGTCCTCCCCAACATCTGTCCCCCTGCTTGCCCGCCCACGGCCCCTCTGTATAAAATAATAATAAACCTTGCATTTGATGTTGCACCTTATCATGTCATTGAGATGTCTCAAAGCGCTTCACAGGATAAAGTGGATTTACTGCATATTTTGTTGGCGAAATGCGACAGCCAATTGCACACAGCAGTATCCCCGCAAACAGTCGTGGAATCAATTCTACTTCAGTTCAACAATGAATTTAACAATCGTGGCTAATCAAACAGTGACAACATCTCAACAACAGCTGCTCGCAGGTCACACAAAGGAGAGCCTGATGGAGTTTAAATGGTGGAGCGACTCCAATATGTGAGCTCAAACCCTCTGCTATCTTTTACCAACAGCCTTGAAAAGCAGCTACACTTGCAACATCTGTAACGTGATCCTGAACTCAGTGGAACAGTATCACGCCCACCTACAGGGCTCCAAGCATCAGAGCAAGTAAGCAGCGCCTTTGTTATCGTCGGACAGACACTGGGGGTGGAGGGTGGGGGAAGGGGATGTCAGAACAACAATAGCGCACCCTTCACGTTTGACCACTGATCGTAACAAGCCTGACTCAGCTCAGCGGAGTGGGCGAGTGCGGTAGGAGATCAGCGAGATAGGGAGTTGCTGAGGCGTGAAAGGATTTATGAAACCTGAGGCAAGTTTCATTACTCCACACACACTGTTTACCTAATAATAATAATCCATTGAACTCAATGTTTGCGGGACGCTGCTGTGTGCAATTGGCTGCCGCGTTTCACCCACAAAATACTCATTTTACAGTGTATCCTGTGAAGGGCTTTGAGACGTCTCAACGACATGCTAAGGCGCTCTGTCAATTGCAAGGATTATTATTATTATTATTTGGAGGCATGGGTGGGAACCTTAAAATCGATCTGCTAGAAGACGTGAAGAGGGTGGAGCCCACCGAAGGCAGGGGTGATGGCGAGCGAAGCTTAGTTGGATATGGGCGGCGGAGTTTGCATTAGCTGGAGGCTAAGGAATTTCCCCCACCCTCTCCCCTCCCTCCTTCCAGGAGTGGAACCTTTACATGGTGCAGAGAATAGTGGGCACCAGGGAGTGAGTTCGTAACATCAATGTCAGAATGGGGAAGTCTAGCACGCCCCAGTGTGCAGTGTTCTGTCTGACTCTGTAGTAACGAGGGTGTGTAGGAGTGAAGCTGTAGACGCTGATTGTCATCACAAGCGCAGTGCTCTGAAACGCCACAAATCTCGCCCCTTGTTTACCACTGCAGGCCTGAGGCTCAGTGCTTAGAGCACTTGCCTCACAAGTAAGAGCACTTGGGTTTGATTCCCAGGCAGGGAGAAACGTTGGGCAAGTTGCCTCACTCTACACGCCTCTGTTTATCCAGCAGTAAGTAGCAACCCAGTTGTTACCCGATTGCCGGATGACTTTTCCGGTTGTAATAATCCCTTCAAAACAAAATAAATTTTACAAAATAATAATAATTTGGTCACTCAATCCACGACTGTTTGTGGGACACCACGGTGTTTGATTGGCTGCTGCATTTCGCCCACAAAATATACAGTCAATTCACTCTATGGTATATTCTGTGAAGCGCTTTGGGACGTCTCGAAGACGTGATAAGGCGCTGCATCAAATGCAAGGATTGCTGGGATTATTATGCTAACGAGGGTGTGTAGGAGTGAAGCTGGAGAAATTGATTGTTATCACAAGGACAAGACTCTGAGACCGCTTGTTTACACCTACTATATTCACACAGTTGCCTGCCTTCAATTTCCTAATGACGGAGAATTCCCTCAAATCTGTTTACGTGACTGTCAGCCACACAGCGCTGGTGTCCTTTCTGCAACTGATCGATCCGTAGCTTGTACATTGTCTTTCTTAGTCATTTAGAGGATATTCAGTCCCTGGGGCCTATATGTTCTCTAGCTACTTATTCAAAGCGGATAGTGGGATAGTGGGTGATGCAGTGTAACTACCGGCGTAAAGAAGGTTACCATTCTCAGCATTTGGCTGCTCTTACTTGGGCTGAGTTGCTTTAATGAGCATTAAACAGGACGAGCGACAACGATTTGCAAATTAACGCTTTTCTTTAAACTTAATTTATCTGTGGTTTAGAGAAACGCTGATCCCAGAGAGAGCGATCTGTAGGATCATCAGAACTGGAGTCAAATTCAATATTCCAATAAGTTACTAATGATGAGCACACGTAATGTAATGCAAGCCTGTGATCAGGTCAGCAACAGAAGAGATTAGAGACAAAGTAAAGCTCCCTCTACACTGAGAAAATCAACAACAACAACAACAGCTTGCAGTTACACAGCACCCCATCATGCCATCTAGCGAGCCAGTGCGCTTGACAGTGGTGGAGCACGTTCCCGAGCTGGGGGGAGTAAGGAGATGACCATAGGCACGGTCGAAAAGGAAGGTCTTCAGGCGCGATCTGAGGATGGGGAAGGGGCAAAGGCAGAGGGATAGAGGAAGAGTGTTCCAGAGTTTTGGGTCCCAAATCCCATCCCATTCACTGGTCGGTTGCACACTCCCAGGTCAGGGTAAGAGACACAGTAAAGCTTGCTCTACACTGTGCGTCCACACTCCCAGGTCAGGATTAGAGGCAGAGTAACGCTCCCTCTACACTGTGCATCTATACTCCCAGATAAGGATTAGAGGCAGAGTAACGCTCCCTCTACACTGTGCATCTACACTCCCAGATTAGGATTAGAGGCAGAGTAACGCTCCCTCTACACTGTGCATCTACACTCCCAGATTAGGATTAGAGGCAGAGTAAGGCTCCGTCTATATGTTTTATCACAGAGCACATCATAATTTAAATTTTTTTCTTTTCCGGAACTTTCTGCTGTAATGAGAATTTAAATTGACGTTATTTTATTGCTATATTTGCCCTTTTTTCATCTTTTTTTTTTAAAAAAAATCTGGTTTTGGAGAGACACAGCCGGAAAGAGATGAAAATGCATTTGTTTTCCCTATTCCGTGGTGACTCTGCCTTGCGCATTTTCATTGCTTTTAGAATAACCTTTAAAGAGGTCGGCGGAGAAATAGCTTTGGGTCCCGCCAGCCTGCATTAGGTGTAAATATAAGATCTCTCTCTGTGGTTCCCCGCAGGCTGGCTAATGAGCCACGTTCCCACCCTTAACTGCAATAACTCTCTATAATATCACACAAGATCTGACCTCTTCCTTCAAGATTACTCCCCTCCACACACCCCCCCACCCCGTGCGTTCCCACCACCTGTCACTGAGCTCAGCTGTTTTTTTTTACAACTTTCATGTCCAATTATTTTTTTGAATATCCCCTGTTGTCACCACCTCTCCCTCCTTCCACCTCCCCCATCACCCTCTCCGATCTGGTCTCCTCTCACTGTGCTGCACTTCCATAGGCCCTGGTTACCCCCCTCCCCCCGCCCTATTCTCCCCCCAGCTCTCCTACCTCCAACTAAATTCTGTGAAGCGCTTTGAGACGTCTCAACAATGCGAAAAGGCGCCTTATCAAATGCAAGGATTATTATTATCATATTACTCTCTCTCAAAAATAACAACAACAGTGTAATCAGCGCCTTTCATGTCGGGAAGACTTGCGACCCGCTGAGGGTATCACAAGATGACAACAACAACAACTTGCATTTACACAGCGCTCCCTCAAGGGGCAAGGCGGAGGGACTGACTGAGGGAGAGGGTTCCAGAGTTTCGGGGTTTGTAGCTGAAAGTGCAATTGCCCCAGCACCCCCCCCCCCCACCGCCCCGCCATTGGGAAAGGCTGTGTTGAGGCAATCTATGCCCACAGCTGCGGAGATTAAACCTCTGAAGCCAGGTGTGCCAATCTAATCATCTTTGTTCTCTCAAACTATTGATTTTCCGAGCTGACTTTTTCCACGGGTCAAAGGCACCTCACAGACTGCGATAGGATTGCATTCTCTGCCTTAACTCCATATCGACCTGTCCGCTCCCTCTGTTCAGCGGGCTCCGGTCTCCTCCACGCGCCCCCCGCCACGCCCGCCCCACCATCAGCGGTCAAGCCTTCAGCCTCTCTGCCCCCAGCCTTCGAAACGCTATCTCACGGTCCCTTTACCTCGCTCCTTCTCTTGCCTCCTTCAAGTGACGTCTCAAGACCTTCCTCTACGACTGCTTGACACAGGTATTTAGGGAGTTCCAGAGGGCAGGAGCAAGTGGTTGTGGTTGAAAGTTTGCCCATCACCAGTAGGAGGGAGGGGGGTGGGGGGGGGCACGAGCAGGCCTGAGTTGGCAGAGCAGATGGCCAAGTGGACCACAGATCACTGAGGATGGGTGTGGTGTTGTATGAAGGCCCTCATTCTCTCCCTCACTGAAACGTGACCCTGCTTGAAGGGCGCTATATATATGCATTGTCGTTGCCTCACCCACTGCTTTTCTCTCCTTCACCCTTTCTGTCTCCCTCACCCTTGTCCTCTCCCTCTGTGTCTTCTTCGTCCTCTCCATCTCCCTCTCTCTTGTACTCTCACTCACCCTATCCCTTGCCATCTCCCTCACCCTCTCCCTTGCCCTCTCCCTCGCCCTACCCCTTGCCCCCTTGCTTGCCCCCTTCCTTACCCCCTCCCTTGCCCCCCCTCTTGCCCCCTCTTACCCTCCCTTGCCCTCTCCTTGCCCTCTGCCTGGCTGCCGCCCTGTGATAACTGCTGGAGAGGTAACTGTGAGTCTGGGCAATGGCTGCTCTGGGACTAATTATAGCCTCAAGAGATTGTATCGATTCAGAAATCCTCACACATCAGTGAAGCGTTCGCCTCATCGCATCACTTTCAATTAAGAGCTGACTCTGATCACAGTGTCAGTGCCGAGAGAACAGCTCAGTGAGCATGAGCTCTCCACCTCCATGCTTAATCGGAATACCATCTGAAGGCTGTGGGTTCAAGCCCCACATTGGGGTCTGTGAGCTCACAGTCCAGGCTAAGCTCCAGCGCTGTGCTGGGGGGAGAGAGAGCCACATTGTCAGAGACACCATCCTTCGGGTGAGATTTTAAACCGAGCTCCCATCTCTTTACTTTTCCAACAGCATCATGGCATTGTTAACATCCATTACATCGTAATAATTTGGGGGTAATAATCCCTCCAAAATTAAATAGTTCATTCATAAATAAGCAAGTAAATAAAAAGGTAAAATACTGCAGGTGCTGGAAATCTGAAATAAACCCAGAAGTGGCTGGGAACGCTCAGCAGGTCAGGCAGCATCCATGGAGAGAGGAAAGGAAAGTGAGTTAACGTTTCAGGTCGATGACCTTTCGTCAGAATAAAATAAATAAATTTGGTGACTCAATCCTCTTTGACCGTGCCTTCAGCTCCCCTCTCGACTCTCTTCCCCCTCCTCGCTCCCTCCCTTCCCTCCCCTCACCCTGACCATTTCCCCCCTCCTCGCTCCCTCCCTTCCCTCCCCTCACCCTGACCATTTCCCCACCCCTCGCTCCCTCCCTTCCCTTCCCTCCC